TCATATGAATTAGTTCTCCAGTAATGTATCCCTCGATAACTCCAGCCATATATGACTGAACTTCGTCTGAGAAGCCCTCATAAGTTCTTAACTCTAAATTCGCCCAACTTTTCAACAAAATTAATAACATAAAAATAAAATAAATCATAAGCTATACTATGTTAAGGAATAAATACCCGGTTTTGTTGACAGTATTTTCATATATAAGTAAAGCCACCGTTTCTTTGGGCAAATCCATTGTCTCATTATAAGAGACATCTGAATGGATAATACCATCGTTTGTGATGTAATAATATTTGAAACTTAAGACACATTCAAAGGCAACTAAAATCAAAATTATTGCCAAAAATATACACTTCATTTTATTGTATAAAGATTTTAGCTACAAACGAGTTCAATATAATATGAGAATTGACTGTGAATTATAATTATACAAATTAATCGCCTATTAATGAATTTATAACATTTTAAGCAAAAGTCAAGTGATTTGATAAGACTATCACTGATAACAGTATACAATAACAATTGACATTAAATTGAACTTCATTTCTAATAAATACTCCACTGTTTAACACAATACTTGTATATAAATACAGTTAATGCCCTGGTTAAATAACACAACCAGAATATATATATTTTCATCAGATATTCACACGTTTATTAATAAATACAAATCAATATAAAAATCGATACAGTACACATTACTGTATTTCACAATTAAATACTATACTAGTAATTCATTCAGTAATTCAGTATAGCATACGGTAACATTAATCGCATACAATATTTGTTTGCATTAAATTTTTTTATAAATTAATATTTAAAACAAATTATTTACAAAACAAATCAAATTAAACTAAGACTTAATCAAAACGATTACTATATAAACAGATCGATAGGAAAGTGAGCCTAGCTTTGAGTGGATTTAGTGCCCACTTTGGGATTATAATAGCCGTCCCTCACGTGCCGGCCCTCCCGTCTCAGCTCCAGAACAGCGCCGATGGCCAGCCCTACAACTGACCCGAAGACAGCACTTTTAATCATCGGAAAACACAATCTCTCCATCAGTTTGTAGTCTCTATAGCCCAACCTGTAAGACACAAAACCATATCTCAATACAATCATCACTTCAATCACTTCCAGACCATTGAATACCTCTTATATTTGTATGAACTGTAAGGCAGACCAACAAACAGACCCACGAAGAAGCCATAGCCAGCGCCTGATATACACCACCAGTCATATCGATATATTAGACATACATTTAGTTTTATATATCACTAGTTATTGAGACAAATGGTAAGCAATAAGAGACGGACCAACTAAGAGACCGGCGCCTTCGAGCACTTCCTGGCGGTGATCATAGTCTTGGATCACATTGTAATTGGGATAATCCGTTGTCTTCACATCCCGGGCCTTATCAAAGTCGGGGTCCCTCTGCTCCCGAAGATTCCTCCACACGTCCAGCCAGTGACTTCCCATCGCTTCCCAGTTATCTGCAGACAAAGCAAACCAAAAACTTTGGCTTCAATTTAATCCATACTTTTAATTGTCTTTCAAAGCGATTGTCATTTCATTCAAAGAGTTGTCAAAAGTTTTATCCAAAACTTTGTGACGAAAACCAAAACAAACCATTCATTCACTAAAAACGTGTCCAAAAATTGAGTGAATTTTCATTTGTTTGCATTTTATTCATTCATTTAGAGTTGATTTGAATTAAAAGTAATTTTTAAAACTAATTATTAAAACATAAACTAATCATCAGATCATTGAGTGAATGGACAGTCAGTCTTGTGGTCATCAATCACTTGAGTGGATGTGTTGGACGTCATTGATTGCAAGCAATGCGTGAAATCTATTGTCGTCTTCATTGACATAGCGTTGATATCTTTGGATCAATTGGTGGCACCGATTATCATCCATAGCGACCATCGTGTGTATGTGAATAAGTGTTAAGCGACACCACGACTACCATCACCGCCCACTACCATGAAGTTAACGCCGGAACTGATCGAAAGCGGCTATCAATACATAAACCGCGCGACACGTGACCGGGAACTGGACCTCCGGGCCTATAAGGTGACGGTCATCGAGAACTTGGGCGCCACTCTGGACCAGTTCGACGCCATCGACTTCAGCGACAACGACATCCGCAAACTGGACGGCTTTCCGCTGCTGCAGCAATCCGTTGTCTGAATGTAAAGTATATAACAAAGAATGCATTCCTCCGTATTCTGCGGACCTAACCATTGCTGCCAGAAATGACTTGAATGAAGTGAACGGCAGTTATCCGATCGACTCGTGGAAACGCGAGGCCGAGGGCGCGACGGACGCAAAGATGACAAACTCATCGATGGTTAGAGATCTGGAGATATTGGCCGTCAGTGGACCCACTGATGCACAACAGCCCCCATTCCAGTGGTCCACCAGTGGCTTCAAAAGCAATCATTACGGACATCCGGATCGGTTTCACTTCAAACCTATTTATGTCAAATGGTTTCCCAAAACATTTGAAACAGCGGATGACATTTGAAATGAATTTTATTAAATAATATAGTAATTCTGTTTTATTACTATACATTTGTATAAATTATAATAAAAATATGACATGATTTATATCATGAGATTATCGGATATTTTATTTTTTTAATGGATTATAAGAGTTTTGTAATAAAAGGAACATTTAATAGAAATCCGGTTCAACTCAATAGCAATTGTAATGAATACTTGTTATCAGTAATAATCTTATCAAATCACTTGACATTCGTTTGAAAAGTTATAAATTCATTAACAATCGATTGAATTCTATAAATATAACTCAATTACAAAATTTTTAATAGTTTTTTATTTTTAATATTTAAAATGAAGTCTATATTTGTGGCAATAATTTTCAGTTTAGTTTCTTTTGAATGTGTCTTAAGTTTCAAATATTATTACATCACAAACGATGGTATTATCCATTCAGATGTCACTTATAATGAGACAATGGATTTACCCAAAGAAACGGTGGCTTTACTTATATATGAAAATAATGTCAACAAAACCGGGTATTTATTTCTTAATCCAGAATATTTTAAGCATTAAGTTATTATAATATCTATAATAATTTTACTAAATTTATTGAAAAGTTGGGCGAATTTAGAGTTAAGAACTTATGAGGGCTTCTCGGATGAGATCCAGTCATATATGGCTGGAGTTATCGAGGGATACATTACTGGAGAACTAATTCATATGAATTATCGGAATCGGATTGAAGGCTATTGTGATGAAAGGAAAAGATTTTGTGAATTACTTAAAGAATTTACTGAAAATAACACAAAATTTGTGGAAACAATGATTGAAAAGAATAAGAATAATGATTATTGGCATCAAATCGGATTGAAGGCTATTGTGATGAAAGGAAAAGATTTTGTGAATTACTTAAAGAATTTACTGAAAATAACACAAAATTTGTGGAAACAATGATTGAAAAGAATAAGAATAATGATTATTGGCATCAATTGGATCTCATATACAAACAGATCAATGGATTAGAAGAAGGATACAAAGTATGGAAAGTCGAGAATAACATCAAAAATCCAACTGAAAGACAATATTTAAGTGAAATTTTTTGGATTATTGGCATCAATTGGATCTCATATACAAACAGATCAATGGATTAGAAGAAGGATACAAAGTATGGAAAGTCGAGAATAACATCAAAAATCCAACTGAAAGACAATATTTAAGTGAAATTTTTTGGTTAAATGTTGGCTCAGAATTGTCTAATTTGAGGTCAATATTAACCCCGAACTCAACGGTTCGTTATAGAGGCCACTGTTCAGCAATTGTCAAACCCCTGGCCGATGGGAGTGACCTATTTGTGGCTCACAATACTTGGAGTGGATTTGAAACAATGCTAAGAATTATGAAGAAATATAGCTTTGCTTTCAATACATTGCAATCGAATCATACGAAACGAATTGCTGGACATTCCGTATCCTTCTCTTCATCTCCGGGTCGTATATTCTCTGGCGATGACTACTATGTCTTATCCTCTGGTCTTGTGGTTCAAGAAACTACAATTTCAAACCGAAACCTTTCCCTTTATAAAGATATAAAAGCTGAGGAAATAGTCTTTGAGTTTATCCGCAATGTTGTGTCCAATCGTTTGGCCGAATCGGGCAAAGAGTGGACACAACTGTTTGGTCCGTATAATAGCGGGACTTATAATAACCAGTTTATGATCGTTGACTACAAGCTCTTCAAAAAGGGAACAAAAGTGTCTAAATTGGCCGATAATTTACTTTGGATTGTGGAACAGAACAACTGTTTGGTCCGTATAATAGCGGGACTTATAATAACCAGTTTATGATCGTTGACTACAAGCTCTTCAAAAAGGGGACAAAAGTGTCTGAATTGGCCGACAATTTACTTTGGATTGTGGAACAGTTGCCGGATTTCATACACTCGGCTGATGTGACTCCTGTATTAAGATCACAGGGCTATTGGGCCTCTTATAATGTGCCATATTTTCAGGATATCTATCAAATTAGTGGTAACGAAGACTTATTCCGCAAATCGGGACCCTATTATAGCTATAATCTGACGGCTCGGGCGCTGATCTTCAAGAGGGAAGAATCAAAAGTAACTGATTTGAAGACATTGTATTCACTGATGCGTTACAATGACTTCAAAAAGGATCCGTTGTCTGAATGTAAGGTATATAACAAAGAATGCATTCCTCCGTATTCTGCGGACCTAACCATTGCTGCCAGAAATGACTTGAATGAAGTGAACGGCAGTTATCCGATCGACTCGTGGAAACGCGAGGCGGAGGGCGCGACGGATGCAAAGATGACAAACTCATCGATGGTTAAGGATCTGGAGATGTTGGCCGTCAGTGGACCCACTGATGCACAACAGCCCCCATTCCAGTGGTCCACCAGTGGATTCAAGGATAACCATTACGGACATCCGGATTTGTTTAATTTCAAACCTATTTATGTCAAATGGTTTCCTAAATCTTATGAAACGGCAGATGATGTATGAAATGGATTTTTTAAAAGTTTGATAAATTATTTATATAATAAACATTTAAAACTAAATTGTTACAAGATTTTCAATAAATTAAAAAATAATTAAACAACAAAACAATCCGTTGTCTGAATGTAAAGTATATAACAAGGAATGCATTCCTCCGTATTCTGCGGACCTAACCATTGCTGCCAGAAATGACTTGAATGAAGTGAACGGCAGTTATCCGATCGACTCGTGGAAACGTGAGGCCGAGGGCGCGACCGATGCAAAGATGACAAACTCATCGATGGTTAAGGATCTGGAGATATTGGCCGTCAGTGGACCCACTGATGCACAACAGCCCCCATTCCGGTGGTCCACCAGTGGATTTAAGGATAACCATTACGGACATCCGGATTTGTTTAATTTCAAACCTATTTATGTCAAATGGTTTCCTAAATCGATACTTTGCCGTCTACTACATACTTTACCTAAAAAATTTTCAAACTATTTAATAAATATATTATTTGTAAATTTTGATTTAACAATGTTCTAAAAGTTATTTAATTTTTTATTAATTTGTTGTTTTGATAATTTTAACAAACAATTAAACATAAATTTAATGGCAATTCTGTAAACAATTATTTATTCCTCAAATGAGTGCGTTTATGGTTATAAAGGGTCGAGTTATGTGCAAAAAATTTGCCGCAATTGTCGACATCGCAAGCGTATGGCTTATCTCCTGTGTGACTGCGTTTGTGTTCATTAAGTTGTGTACTCCTGGAGTATGTTTTGCCACAATTCTTTTCATCGCAAACAAATGGCTTGAGTTTCGAGTGAACACTCTTTAGGTGTTGATTTAAATGGCATTTGTGTGCAAATTTTTGGCCGCAATCGCATGCGAACGGCTTCTCTCCCGAGTGGACCCGTTGGTGAGCAATCAGATCCGATATTTGACAGAAACCTTTAGCGCATCCCTTGGAATCGCATTGAAATCTCTTTTCCCTCAGATGAACGTCACGTTTGTGTCGATTTAAGTCTCCCTTTCGCGCGAAACTTTTGCCACAATCTTTGTCAACGCATTTGAATGGCTTTTCGCCCGTATGTATGACTTTGTGTCGATTGAGGTTTGATTTCTGAGTGAATCGTTTGCCACATTTGGCTTCACGACAGACAAATGGCTTCTGCAAATTATCGCTCTCGTCCGGACCCCTCAGTACTTGTGGTGTTTCCTGTCTTTCCGAGTGATGGACACTATCAGTGACCAAAACCTCCCGGCGCTCAACTATGCTATCATTTAAGGGGTTGTTATTGCCACTAATACGACACAATTTGAGGCAATAATTGTTGTCATCTAATTCATTATCACTAATGAATTGAATCTCTATTTGACACAACTTTTTATTAAAAGTCTTTAGTTTTGATAATAGATTTAATGCGCACTTCGAGTCATTGTTTACTGAATTCATTTTTCGTTTAATTCTTGAACCTAGTTTAGTTTAGTTTGATGCTTAAATTTTCCTGAACCTTTCACTTTCTCACTATTATTTTCACTCATTTTAATATAACTAATATTGCACTAATAAATATAGTATTGTTTCACTTTTAATTGCACTTAATTACATATATTATAATAAATAACAATCAATATTAATAATTGTAATAAAATAACATAAGAGTGAGCACATACGGTACTCATAATATCATATTATTTTTGGGCATTTTATTATTGTTGGTATAGATCTGGTAAAACCAGTTTTTCATTACAACAAACTTTTTTCTTATGTCATCCACTTTAAGAACTAAATGTCAAATACTGTATTCATGATACTTTGATTAATTTTAGTATAATACAGACTATGGAAAAATAGTTAAACTCAATTAATTATTATGTAATCAACTGATAAATTACAAATTAAATAAATAAAATTAAATACTTTTATTTCATCACTTATTTAACATCAAATTGATTGTAATGTGAATTTATGAAATTTTATGTAATATACGATATGATATTATGAAATTTATATTAGAGTGAGTATAATAACGATTATTAACCGTTTATTACCATAACAATTCTGATAATGTTATCTAACTGTCACTGCCTTAAAAAGGGAGGGAGAGAGAGAGAGAGAGAGAGCTATTTTGGTTGACAAGTCATTGCCATCTCATTAACAACCAAATAGTGATGGGATGTGGTATAGGATGCTGTGTTCACTTATATTTCCATTTGATCGCACTTCAACTCACTCTCTCACACAAACAGTTGTAAATTATAGTCAATTGTATTCATTAAGAAAATTTTATTAGAAATAAGATTATATTAATTTATTACAAAACTAATTAAAAGTATATGATTTATATTACATCAGAATATTATTTAAATACAACTAAAATAATTTAAATGATAAAAATAAATGCAAAATAATAAGTATTATTCAGTCGACAGTCATAAACGGGTCGTCTGGCTGTTGGGCAGACGTGTCATTCGTGTCCACTACTTGTGCTTCAGAAGGAGTGTCACATTCGCCGCCATTTGTTTCCATCGATTCATTCAAATTAAGTTCCGAAGTATTAGTTCCCAAAGCGTCCACATCTGACTCCTGGCTCTCAGTAGTCGCCACTTCCGGTCCATTAGTGTCCGATAATAACAACTCTTCGGTTGTCATTCGGCGTCGCTTTTGCGGCGGACTCTGACTCTCCGGACACGTCCTAAAGCTCTCGGCGTCCGAGTCGTTGACCGCAACGTTGTCTTCGTTGACATCGTCGATGGGCTCGAAGTCCTGCTCGAAGGCCGAGTCGGCGCTCAGCTGTTGACTCCTGGACTCAATCTTCTTGGCGATGGCACGGTTAGCGAAGAAGTGACAGAACCTGAAGCTCAAGAGCTTGAAGCGCCGTTAGAAGACCTATAAGAGCAGCTTGCGGAAGTAGAGAGCCCGCGAGTAACGGTAGTCTAAGTTCACTAAGTGTCGGTACAGGAGGTAGTCTTCAGCCAATTTGGCCATCGATTGGTCGCAATCCATGATCTTATTGACCAAATCGTGCGCTAATTGTGTGTGACTCTCATCGTCAATGAGATTCGCGAAGAATTTGACTAAATTCTCGCAATTAATGGTTTTCAAGCGCTGCTCGTAAAGCGTTTGCAGAGTCAATAGGAAGGACTCCTGAAGGGCCGACTGTCCGACGATTACGCCCTGGGATTCGGCCAAAGCGTACAGACGCAGGAAGTCGCCGATGAACTGAACGATCGTCTGATTCTCGTCGGGTGTGAACCAAATCACCACTAATTTGGACAACAGTTCCGGCGAATAGAGATTACGCCCTGGGATTCGGCCAAAGCGTACAGACGCAGGAAGTCGCCGATGAACTGAACGATCGTCTGATTCTCGTCGGGTGTGAACCAAATCACCACTAATTTGGACAACAGTTCCGGCGAATAGAGCCGCGAATGCATGAGGAGTTTGGCGACCCCTTGAACCGCGGTTTCCCTGATCTCCGTCACCTGTGAGTCCAGCTGTGTCTCAAAGAACTGTTTCAATGATGTGATGAAGTCTTCGTCGCTGTCGTCGAACGCCAGTTGTCTCACTTGGGAGTTGTCTTCGCTTTTGTCGCCATTCTTATCCACTTTATCGTCGAATAAAGTGATTCCGTGTTCGCACAGGGAGTCGAAAATGCTTTGCAATGCAATGATTTTTATCGGTTCGATGTCTTTCAGGAAAATCTGAATAAAAATGGTTTTAAATTTAGAAAGTATTCAATATTTGATTTTAAAAAAATGATAATTACTTCAATCAAAAGATGCAAATATTTCTTGAAATACTGAGGACTCGTTAGACATACTAAACCCAGACATCGAGTGGCAACCCTTCGCACCGAAACGTTATCACTCAGAAAACCGGGTAAACACTGAAAGAAGTGATTTTAAACATTAATTATAATCATAAACAAAACCATTACGAGTAATAGTAATCATAGAGTAAATACAAACCACTTTCTCGATGTGTGTTTGCATTACAGCATTCACTTCGACATAGTTTCCAAACTCCAAACAACTCGAGAATATTTGCAAACAACTCATCAGTGACTTCGGGTAATCCTAACGGTTGTCATCAATGATTAGAAAAATTAGTTAATTTAAACCACAAATCAATTGTAAACTAAATAATCAACGAATTGTTACTAACCGTTAAACTCTTTGGTTGTTGTGATGTTTGCGATGATTGTGACAATAATGAGGTATTATTAGCTGCGATCTTATCCTTTAAGACATTGATCTCTGTCTCCAAATCCTTGATCTTTTCACTCATTTCTTGCACTTCACTCTCTCGGCCCTCAGATTCCATATCTTGTAAATCAGTTCTGCATTTCTCCAGATCTGCACTTAATTTGTTTCGTTTGTCTTCGAGTTCTCGATTCGACTCATCAGCCATCGACTCGGTCTCATCAGCAGTGGATACAGTTGTGGCAAATATCTCACTGATAATCTCAACGGTAAAGTCCAGATAAGCGTTATTATCTGTAAAACCATTTTTGCCCAAACACTTCATGACTGGCGTTATATAGCCATTGAATTTGTCGCCAATTTGGCTGTCGATTAGTATTGAACGCATGGTCTTCACTAAGATCTTCCTGCAAATCAATCAAAACATTCATTCATTCATTAAATAGTTCACAAAAATCAACAAAAAATAGTCATACCTTTGGGCGTCGTCTCCAATGTCTAAAAGTAGCGATACTTTCATGAATTGATTGAAAATGAATTCAAAGTCCAATGCGTCAGCAATAGACAGCTCTTGAGTGATGACATTATTCACAAACCTTAAGACAGATAATTGGGAATCAATTGTCAATTAAAAGTCTTATTATCACTTACTTTTCGAGATAAGCGCAGAAATAGGGGACATCAGGAACTAATAGATCAAATAAGTCAACACTTTGTACTTCCGTTTCATCCATGACTTGTTGATTGTCTTCAATTGGTATCTCATCCGCGGTCGCCATCGACTGTGGAATGGTTAGCCTTTCGGGTACACCACTGATAACGCTATCGATAGTGGCGTCAACACCAGCAGCGGTGACATCACTTGTTTCACCGGTTTTCTCATTTGCATTCAATTCTTTGCTTACGATTTGATTTGATTTACAAAATTCACACAAATATCGCCATAAAAACACATTTTCCACATTCAATGAAACGCTAAACAAGCGATCAGTTGTCATATTCTGGTCCCGAAACTCATCCACCAATTGATGAAACTTTGTTTTCGACAACTCCTCGGATACCACTTCGCGGTTCAAGTGCTTGAAGTATATGTCAAGCATTCTCTCTATTAAATCCACATCTGTTTGGATGTCTAACGCAATCAACAGTTGAATCAAATTATTGTTACAACATTTAACCCACGATGGGATCAGAACTGATTCGACGACTTTGCGAACGGCGGAACTCCTGTCTTTGAGGCCATTCTTCAGGATTGTTAGCCTTTGCTCTATTGTGAAGCACTTGATCTGCAGTTTGTCCGCGATTTGTATGTAAGCTATCGATTGATTCAAAGCAATAGAAATAGATTAACAAAAACTTTCAGATCTCTCTCTAAAAATCATTATAAATACCAGTCTTTCTGATGAAGTCCTTCACATCACGAGTGGATCCCACAAAATGAGCTAAACTTTGCTGAGAGGCGGCCATCGCTTTAAGACAATTATGTCTCACTTCAGGGTCGGGATCGTAGTTGAGATGAAAATGAATCGCTTGAATCACCAAATCGTTGGCATTACCCGTGTCTTGGAAGCGATGGAGAGCCAGTACTGCGGCCGCCCTCACAGACGCCACTCTGTCGGCACTCCTATCGAGCAACGCCTTCCGGATCTTCTCGTAGATATCGTCGTTAATGTCCTGCAACTCATCGGACAGTCTTCGTATGAAATGACACGAATTGATACGACACTCGACTTTCGCTGAGTTGGTGTACGGTATGACCACATCCTCGAGTATGGCGTCTATGAACTCGTGGCGTATCTCTTCGTCGTCCTCGTCGGCGGGCGTTACGACCGAACCATCGGTGACCTCAACGGTGGCCGAGAATGTCAACAGATAGCCGACGAAGAACTGGATGGTGTTGTGAGTGTATGGCGAGCGGGAGTCGGGCACCCATAGCGTGTACTTCAGGTTACGGACCAACTCTTTGTAGTAATCTTTCACCGATTGGTTGGTCTTCGAGTACTGGCTCTGGAGGTGAGATAAACGTTGAAGACATGCGATATGTTTGTCCAGCCGTTGCGAGTCGTCAAAGATATCTCTCATCGTGTCCTCCACTGCGGCCACCGATTGTCTGTTAGTCTTCGCCGGTCTCTGTCGTCTCGATGTCATCGTTTGTGGTGATAGTCTTCGGCGGTAAGTGTCTTAAAGTGTCCGCGAATTCATCGCAAAATTGATTTGTGTTTTCAAAACATTTCCATTCATTGTGTGACAGTCTGTTCACAAACAACGTTACCCATCGAGACGTTGGGCCCAATGTTTGCTACCCTTCCCCACAATTGTTGTGAATTTCATTGTAAGTACTGATCAAAACCCATATAAAACTTTCACCCCTTTCCTTATACATGACATTTATGACTGATATATGGCAGCTGTATATGTGTCCGCCTATAATGGCTGTCCATATATTTGATACCACTTTAGTGGCGAGCGTTTGAAATAAGTTTTTTGTTAAGTTTTAAAAGTGTTCAAAGGTTTTAAGCAAAGTATAAACTATGAATTTATGATACACTCCCAGATAAATTTATCTCAATTTTGTGGTGTATTTGAATCAGTTTGTGGCTTAAGTGAGACTTCGGTCTTAGTTTTTGGCTCAGTTTTGTCCTCATATTTGGGTTTTGGTGGCGAAACCAAAAGGGAGACAATGATTGCGATCAACGCTATAACTTCTATAGCGGTCAGAATAACACCAAACCATTCCTAAGACATCCACAAAACATAAATTATTTCATAAATACACAGAATATTCTGAATACAGTACTGAATACACAATCAATTACTAATGCATATCAATCAAAGTCTAAACACAAAAACTAACTACAAATCTATGATAAACTTGCAGACACTGACCCATAAGGAGGTCTCATCGTAGTCGTCAGCCACAGACCCACCAGCAGATCTACCGGAGCCGTCTTCGGGCATATCATAACTGCCCATTTGGTCCAAAGGCTCGATGCGATAGTCGTGTTCACACGGCTTGATCTTCACGTTGTAAGGGTCGGGATGTGTCTCGCAGTGCAATAAAAGCCAATTGTCGTATATCTTTGTCAACGTATTAATCTTATATTTCGCTAAATCGGCTTCAAATACGACTTTCTTGATGACATGCCTATCGCCGTGAAACTCAGCAAAATAAGCGATATACGGTATTGAAAATTGAATTTTATTTTGAGTATAAGAATAGAATAACTTAATTAACAATTACATGGAAATGTATTTCAAAACATTTGGGATAATAATCGTAATATCAAAATAGTTTACACCATTGACTAGTAAACAGACATTTAATCCCAACCCGCGAGCGCTTTATCCATCTCATGAGCCGCAATGAACGGCCTGTCGATGCAACCAATGATAATATCTCCGCAATAGAAGCACTCGTTAGCCACCAAATCGTCCAATTCATTGAGAAGCCTTTCCCTATCGTTTGCGGCGTTAATACTGTTGGTCTGATCGCCCAAAACATCGCTATTAGTCTTAAACTGTGCGGAAGCGCTACCGCTAACACTCAGGTTTCGTTGAATCTCTTCGACCCTCTGGAGTTGGCTTTCGGTCAACAAAGGCTTCAGTTCTCTGACGAGACAATCGGAATGGAAGAGATGGCCGCACGGGAAGGCATAGAAAGCGCGGGTGAGTACCGGGTAATCGCAAACAATACACTTGTCTTCCGTACGAATGATTGTAAACTTATTGCGAAAGGCTTTGATGTCTTGTCGTATTTGACGGGCGCTTTCAGTGGCGCTCTTCATGTCGTCTTTAAGCGCATCGATGTTGCGGTTATACTCCTGAAGCGATTCACAAATGGCTTCTTTGAAGTGATCGATGGTCACGAAGTCGGGAAAGAATGTCAATATGTCCTCAATCTTCAAGAGGTCGCACTCTTTCAGTATTTTAGTGGCCGTTTGAACGTCTTTTTCACTGCTATTCTGAATGACATTCTTCGCGATGCGAAGCCACAGCCTTTTCCTCATCTGATCGCCCAATTGGTCGCACCGGTCGGCCGTCTGTTTGGCCAACTCTACGTCCAGTTTGAGGGCCAGGTCTACGGCCTCCTCCCACATACCCATTGTGGAGTACAGGTGCACACAAGCCCTCTCTAAGCCCAGTTCGCAGCAAATACGGGCCGCGTATCTGATGTCGTAGGGAACGGTGGACTCGTCCTGACCTTTCATCGACAGGTATGTCATCAGTTTGTCGGACGCTGTCTGCGCATAGAGTGCCAGTAAATAGTTGTGTATTACAGGGTCGGGATCTCCTAATTTGTAGGCGCAGTGCTCCAGATATCGGATCGTCTCCAAACACTATCAATAAAAATGCGACAAAACTTTCAATACTTATGTCTTATTGTTACTCAAAGTTTTCTAAAACCAATACAAATACCTGTTTATCATTGTTTTCGTCGATGTTTTTCAGATTTTGTTGAACTAAAGCGGGGATCAGTTTCGTTGAATCCAATTGTGGCGCCAATTGTATTAAAAGTGATATCAATTCCGATGGCATCTCTTGCATCAGAATTGGTGCGAATTTATAAAACATTTCCGTCACTCCCTTTACAGTCAATACAAATCAGTTGTAAATTTTAAAAAAAACTTTTTAAAAAAACTTTCAAATAAATTACTTGTTGTTTAAGTACAACGAAAGCCTGACTATAGTTCTTATGCCTTAAATGGTATTCAATGATCCGATTGTAATCTTGCATCAGAACAGCAAAAGAGATCCAATTCTTCTCACTTCCATGGCTTTCAATCAAATCATAGACTGCTTTCCGACTTTTAATTAAACAGTTCTACAGTAAACACACAAAAACATTAATCAATAAACAAAACAAAAATCAAATTCATGTCAAATACTGACCCGAAGTTTGTTCTCTGAGAGCAAACTCTGGAACTCGGCTTCAATGAGTTGGTACTCATCGGTGGCCTCTTTGTCGGCGTTCCGAAGCGATCCCATTTGGTTGAGCTGTATCTCAATCAGCCATAACAACAGCACCGTTAGCTGAGTGGTGTCTTTAGGCGACAAAGTATCCAATTTGCAGACCAGGAACTGCTTCAGAGCCTCGTCTTCTTTGATTTGAATGAATTTAAGCGCAATTTCTTCGAAACACTTGTGACTTATGGCGTAAAGCGATGCACTCTTTTCGTAGCTATAAAAACAAAACAAAATTTTTATCAAATAAAATCCAATTCATAGCAATTGATAGCAAATTATACTTCTTTTTAGCGAAATAATAGTCGGCTTCGGCGCAGATAATGCGGTCTGTCTTGAGGGCGTCGTTTCTGGCCAACCGTTTGGCCGCTTCGAAGTCCTGTTTATCTAAATATATTCGCCATATATTCCTGTCTTCGGCCACAATCTTATACCTATAAACGGCTAAATGTGTGAACACCCACACCGTTCCTCGTGTCGGGTCCTTCGCAATGCCCACTAATTTGCCGTAAGTTTCCGTGAAATAGTCCTCAAACACCACCTCTTCGTTCAATACACAAATCACTTTCAAATGATTTCTCATTAGAATCAACACATGATATTGGGTTAACACTAAAGATATAGGATTTTCATCCGTTGTAAGGCTATTGTCTGAATCGCTTCTATACGACAACAGAGTTGTAGTATTTATCACACTATTATTGGCCAATGATTTAGTGCTTAAGTCTATTTGTCCGCACATCACACCCGGACCTGTCATACAAAAAAAACACAATTTTATGGCAAATGAAACACTATTTATGCGGTACTAACCGGTTAGCCATCCAAACGCTATAGGAATTCCATAAGGACTGGGATAGCAAAAATCTAATCGACTGAAAGTCATATCTTTGGGCATATCTTGAAACTGATTATTAGATGAATTAAACACTTGATATAAAAACGGAGAATCGTTGGCATTGGAGGCGTTGCCCACGAATTGATACAAACGACTGAAAAAACAAAAGTTATAAAACATATAAAACAGATTCTTATAATACACTCACTTTCTTGTGGTGACAATAATGAAATACATCGACTCATTGGTATTCATTTGCCTAATCTTATGAAACTCGAGACCAAACACAGGGCCGGCATCTGATCCCAAATCAAACGCTTGTCTCCAATACTGTTCGGGACCTCCGCTTATAGGGAAGAACTTGGACTCATCGCCAGAAACCAATTCGGTCTCAAAGATGAGTCCCTTGTTTGTGGCGATCAGTATATTCCCGGTGCTATTGGACGGACTCTTACCGCTGACCTCGAAGTTCCAGCCGATGGCTGTAATCACGTGTCCTTTCATTTTCGATGTTTGGACACATTTTTTAGATAAATACAGATTTTCTGCCGACACCTGAGTCTCGCTGTTCGTCACACTTATGATACAGTGTTTGCCCGTCGGGTCCACAAAGAGGTTATTCACTCGCGAGGAATGGCTCTTATCTGAGATAAATGGCGTCAAATCGATATCTGTTTGACACATCAAATGGTCGGTAATTATTACACCAATTAATCCATTGATAATCACACGAAGCATACCATTAGTTTGGTGTCCGTGCATGAGATCCATTCTCAAGATTGTCCTATTCTTCAGAGCCATCACCACATGATTATTACTGACCGCCAAATGTGTGATCTTATCGACGGGTCTGTTGGTGACAAAAAGTATTGCAATGTATGGCTAATTATGGGATCAGATTGAGTGACACTCACGAGAAGTCGAGCTTATGTTTGCTGAAAATGGGTTCTTCGCTATCACTGCACATATTGATGATGGAGTTGTCCTGCAATTAGTCACCGCATGAGACCAATTGGTCACCAAATTATCACTCAAAACCATAATCACCTGATTTCTGTCAGAGTCCAGTGCCAGGCCTCGTGAGGACAGGGATGCGAACTGTTCGTACTGTTCAAACAGTGAGGCCATTGTCGAGTGAAAAGTGATGTCTTCGATGTGTCTGTGACTTAATCTTCAGGGAACAGGTGGTGATTATCACCGCAAACAAGTGGTTGACATAACCAGAGGTTTGCAATATTTGTAAACAACTTACGCCCCGCGCATGCGCTCTCACTATTAGAGGTACGCTATACTCAAAATAGCATTGCATACAAAACTCCGGACTGTAGTACAACTGGGAGTCTATATTAGATTTCAGTGCAACAGTGGGAGAGAGAGTTTGCAGTGGACTCCCAAACACTGGGAGTTTAAACAGTGGTTGCAAACAGTGTTTAGACGTCTATTTCCATTGACAGCACAAACACCACGTGAAGACCACATGAACTGCTATACTGAAGACTTCGAGGAATACCACGAAGAGGAGGCCAGTGATGATGATTACGGCGACCAACTCGACCGCATACTTGTGCCCAAACTCCCGGTCGCCAACTTCGACCACTACGACCCCAGTCGACCCCCAGTTACCGGTGAGGAATACCTCCGACGAGTCCAGTAAGTCATTGTAATTACCACTCATTGTCTTAGCGCTCACTGTCTTACCACTCATTATGATAGGCTGGAGGCCCAGAGGTGTCCCGAAGTAGTGGTGGCCGACCTCGACGTCAATCAGTTCACACCAAACCAAACGCTAATCATTGAAAATGTTGAGTACTTTCTGTGCGTTTGCGCGACAATTGTCTAATCAATTGATTCATTTGGTGACCAAAACAGTCAAATGGGTTCATAAGAGCCAAACCGGAGTCGACGCCATCGGTGGACTGGCAGAGGGCACAGGTGTCTGAGTTCAGTCACGTGCGGACAAGTTTGGCGCGAATGCGAGCGCACAGACCGCCCGGCAGTCAAATGGGTTCATAAGAGCCAAACCGGAGTCGACGCCATCGGTGGACTGGCAGAGGGCACAGGTGTCTGAGTTCAGTCACGTGCGGACAAGTTTGGCGCGAATGCGAGCGCACAGACCGCCCGGCGCTGCGGTCGACCCCATCGCCGACAGGCCTCCCGTACGGCACCGGGCGATGAGTTGGTGGCGAGACTACTGTATCGGCAAACGGAGCGACCACTCGAGCGATTCGGACAGCGATCGCGGGGGCGGTGGTGGCGATGAGGACGAGTCGGACCTCTCGACGCCCACCGATACGCCCCACAACTCGTCGGCTCTTAAGCGCGAAAAGCGGGCCAAACGCGAGTCAAACCTCCCGCTCATGAGTACCATCTGTGCGCTAACTCAAGACGAAGTGATTGTTTTGTTGAGTTTTTACGCCAAATGGTGTCAACAGTACCGCTTCACTGAGCACTTCGGCCTCTGGATGTACGCCCTTCTCGTGGCCCTCGAGAAGCCACTGCCCGCTGAAGTGTACTCCACGTTAAGAGACTTGAGTCGTGTGTGCAGTGAATGCCGGCATAAGATTGGATCGGATTGTGATTCAAATGTTTTGATTTCATTGAATCTCATTATCTGTATAATCGGCCGATATTTCGATCAAAACGATATGTGCGACCAATAGAGCCGTTGTGTAGTGAATGCCGGCATAAGATTGGATCGGATTGTGATTCAAATGTTTTGATTTCATTGAATCTCATTATCTGTATAATCGGCCGATATTTCGATCAAAACGATATGTGCGACCAATAGAGCCGTTGTGTCCGATCAGTGACTCGTATTTTATAGTAAATTAATTTCTTAATTAATAAACTCATGAAACGGATATTAAATCATTGATGGATTGCTATGTTTTGTGACAATTTGTTGCGATGTAAAGGCGATTATAATGCCGTTTGGGAACTGGATTTGTGTTGAATTCAAATTAATTATGAATGTATGAGAACTTGATTTAAGTATATTTTGTTATTTTAATGTTAACTCATGTATTCGTTTACTGTTAGCTTTGTTTAGTACTAAACAAACACTTTTTTAAATGCTATTGAATTAGTTTTAAATAAATAATTTCTTACACGAAAAGCTGTTGTTGTAATTAACTGTAAAACTAATGGAAATCTTAATACACTGGTCAACCCAACTGACGGCTATTTTGTGGACTCAAAGCAATAGCCCTTTGATTGGACTTAAAGTATGAATCAATCATTTGTTACAGTTTTCTCATAAAAACCAATTAAAAAGTTATAAAATGCAGGAATTTATGCACAATTCTGGACTCCATTTTAATTTAGTAGCAATTTATGAAGTTTTATAATGTATTCAACTCATAGTTAATATGATTTTAATGCAAGAATTTGGTTACAAAAGTATCACAACTTTTAAACACTAAATAAAATAAAGTTTGAATTTAAATTATTGTAATGAAATAAAATTGAAATCAATATAAAAGTTAGCAATAATTGATTGGTTTGTTTGCCATAAGTATTTGATTTGGTGGTGTCCTTTGAATTATCAACATTTGAATGCTTGGAATCAATGTTTGTCTCAGTCTTTGGCACATCTCTGTCCACATCTTCGTGATCCCCGGTCTCTACACCAGCGCTCCTAACAGTCACCTCTTGGAGAAGGTTTTTGCACTCAACCGACTTATACCTCAATTGAGGGCACCGTTCGCTCTCTTCCCGCCGGATCTCAGTGTCGAACATGTCTTGACTGATGTGTTTAGCGGTGAGTGTCGGGCACCGGGAGGTGACACTGGCCTTAAAGCAGTCGTACGTATCCCACATCGCACAGCACTCCTTGTCTATGGTTTTGCAGTTCATTTCGCTATTCGTGAATCCAATCACACATTTCCATCGCACCGACACTTTATTCACGCACTCCTTAAAGTCGCCGTCAGTTTTGTCCAAACATTCATTGATTTCTGTATCGCTTGCCGTCGTGTTAGCAGTCGTTTCGGTGCGATAAATGCCATTCAATGACATAATCATTAGCGATATGAATATAATGGCAAACATTTCGACAAAATTCTGCTCTAATTATAATTTGAATGAGAGATATATTTTTAAAATCCAATTCAAACAATTTATTACGCGAATTGCAAACTATAATATTATTGTAAAATTCAATTTTAGAAAATATTTTCAAATTAGAAATACTGTAACTTTTATGTCTAATTCAGTTGCAAACCTTTGACTGTATGTGCAGTGATTTTATTTAGATATTAATATCAAATTTACAAATAACTAAATAACTGACAAAATGTCTAATAGTTTAACAAACGATAAGATCTCTTCTCCGGAAGTGTTGACCGAAACGAATGGAAAGAAACGTTTGAATTATTATTCTGTTGTGAACACAACCAACGGATCCAATGCTAAAAGTGATGATAAGAAGAGTATAGAAAGTGATGGAAAGAATGTTACCACAAGTGATGACAAGATTACTAATAATAAGGAAAGGGATGGTAAAGAAAAGGATGAGAGGAAAAGACAGTTATTATGGGAATCCAAGAAGAAGAAGATATATATTCAATTGATTCGCAATGAGTCCAAGAGATTGATTGAAATCATAACTCCGATCTCCGTTTGTATGCTTTTAGTCATACTTTCCATACAATTCTTCCCGATATTCATAACAGGTATACTAAACCACAATTGAAATGTAAAAGTATTTAATGAATGAATACTGAATTATCATTGAAATGTATATTTGTATTTCACTAATTTATAAAAATATTTATAACATTAAATAGTTATGAAGTTTAAAATAATTTATTTCATTATTATTTGTGAGAAAACCTAATAAAAATAACATACATTTTTTATTCTGAATTATTATGATACATTTAATTCATCACCACCATGATTAATTCAATACCAGTATTGCATTTATAAAGCATAAGTTATAGTTTTGAAATAAATCTTTCATTTGAAACATTGACTAACATTTCTAAAACTATAAATTGTCTATAAATAGTGAAAATTTAGAACTTAATAATTTTAAAACATTATATCTGAAGTTATCATTACGATAGTATTAGTTGAATGAATCATTTATATGTTAATTAAGCAAACAAAGAATTTTAAAAATTGTTGAATTCAGTGAAACATAGTGTTTATAACAGAATATTCCGTAAACTTGTGCTGAAATCTCATACAAGTGTCACACTATTTGTATGAATGAGAAAATGCATTGACTTTCTCTGCAAACCTAACGCTCCACAGAAAGTCAATGTTTGCGAAACAGTATTGCATTGCATTGACTGTGAGCCACATGTTTGCATGTTTACCACATTGTGTTTACATTGCATTCACAGTCAATGCACACAACAGACACTCAATTGTGTAATGAGTTTACAATTAAATTGTTTTTAAAACTTTTATTTAGTTTTAATATTCGAGATTAATTTAATAGTCAACATTGACCCTGAGTACAACTGGTGTCAACTCGTAATTAATGATATTTTATGTGTTTTCCCAAAGTCTTGTCACTGAAGACATTGCAAACGCATCTCAAACTCAAGAGATTTAGTTTACCGCTGATGTCGACGATAATGAACGCATCGGTTAAACGAAAACTGCAGATAAAGGAGGAGCCTGTGGACGAGACATCGGCGCCAGAGGTATGCAATCAGCCATTGGATGTCATTATCGCTGATTTGATTGATTTGATCCGTGGTTCCGCAGACAAAGCCGAAGCGAAAGAGACCAGAATTGCCGGAATATTCTTTGGATGTGAGGCTGATAATGCACCTGTTGCCGAATGCCTTTCACATAGGGATAATGAAGTGCATGAAAAGGGTGACGTTCCCGGCCACCTACCCTGTCCTCAACGTGAGGAAAATGCGGTTACTCAAGGCACCGCTGACGCCCGAGAAGATTGTATGTCATTGTCATGTCATTTGATCCGCGCTTGAATGCGTTGACACTTATGTGTGGTTTGTCTGATGGCGTGTATAGAGGGGTCGCATCGAAAACGGGTTTCTTTTGGTGAACAACCAGAAGGTGGACATCGATTACAAACTCAAAGGACACGATCTCCTCACACATCGACTCCATAGACACGAATCGCCGGTACTTTCGGCGCCCATACCTGTCATCCATATGTCTAACGATATGCTGGTTGTGGACAAACCTCCGTCTATTCCCGTGAGTGATATTTTCTGTGCCAACGCTTCACTCTCGATGACTAATGCACTTAATGTACATCAGATACATCCTTGTGGTAAATACCGCCACAATTCAGTGATGCATGTGTTGGCCAAAGAGCACAATATGACTGATCTCTACAGTAAGCGTCGAAACTCATTGTCTTAATTCATATCTGATTGTCATATGTCGCTAATCCATGGCACAGATATCCATCGTTTGGATCGATTAACATCCGGAGTACTACTGATCGCCCGAAACACGTCCACCGCTCAGAAATTTCACGAACAGATCCGCAATCACTTAATATCCAAAGAATACGTTTGTCGAGTTGTCGGCAAATTCCCAGAGTATGGCTAGTTAACTTAACAAAACAATCAACAGACAAATGTCTTTGTCATCACCACTAGTGGTGTCGTGACCTGTGATCAGCCGCTCGAAACCCTGTCCCACAAGATAGGCATCTGTATTGTGGACCCGAAGGGCAAGTCCTGCAGCACTGCCTTCGAGCGACTCAACTATAACGGCAAGAGTAGTACCGTATTGTGTAGACCCAAAACAGGGCGTATGCATCAGATCCGTGTTCACTTGCAATACTTGGGTCATCCCATTGTCAACGACTCCTTCTATAATAACGATGCGTTTGGGCCCCAGAAGGGAAAGGGAGGCGAATACGGAAAGTCTAAAGAAGTGGTCAGAATTGTTCTCAAATTAGATCCTATTTTACAATTCAATTAATGTTTAAATTGTTTTGAATTGATAGCTAATCCAAGACATTGATAAACAACACCAACGAATGCTTTATCTCATATCAAATGTCAGTGAAGTGTCAGCTGAAGAGCGAGAGATAAACGATAGGAAACGAGAGATCGCCTTAAAAGCCTTACATCACTACACGAATCGAGAGGAATGGCATGCGTTGACTGAAAAGTATTTGAAACAGTATTTGGTTTGATTTTAATTGTGTTTAAATGAATTGCTTTATGTTTTGTTAGATACAAATGCGACACAAATCGGTTGATAACAGACACCGAGTGCGAGGAGTGTGTGAACCGGACTATTGATCCAAACCCTAAGGATTTACTCATTTATTTGCACGCATTCTGTTATAAAGTAATGTCTGATTGTAGCCGACATTGAGTGCAATCTATTAATTGTTTTGTATTTCCATTGAATGTTGATTTAGGGCCAAGACTTTGAGTATAAGACGGCGCATCCAGTCTGGGCTTTGGATGATTGGGATTATGATTAATGTATCATATTTTTGACGATATTCTGGTTTTTGAATCAATTAAATAGTTGTTTTGTTATAAATTTTATTTACCGGTACAACAAAATGTTACGGTACTACAGTAACAAATCATAATAAAGTACATTTGGGTGTATTAGTTCAGTCCCAGAGGAACTAGTATTATGTAAGAAATAAGTGATAAAACAGTATTGATTGTGTGGTTTTGAATTGAAAAGTCTAATACTTGAGAGAATAGTCTAATACTGTATTCGGAATCAATTAATCGGATTATAAAACGTTTGATTAATTATAAGAAATTATTACAAAAATTACAAAATCATAGGTCAGTCGTCGAGCATGAAGTCGTCGTATAGATCCAGGTGTTCGTACGGATTGACAAAAGTGGTAAAGTTGGAGGGAATGCCCAATGACAGCAAAATGGACTTCTCCTCGTCCGTGAGGTCTGGTATCGCGAAGTTTCCCGGTTTATAGGTCGAGACGTTGGCCTTCGCCGCCAACTCCTGCGGCGCTGTCTTTGTCTCGAGTTTCCTGAACGACANTATTCGAGATTAATTTAATAGTCAACATTGACCCTGAGTACAACTGGTGTCAACTCGTAATTAATGATATTTTATGTGTTTTCCCAAAGTCTTGTCACTGAAGACATTGCAAACGCATCTCAAACTCACGGGATTTAGTTTACCGCTGATGTCGACGATAATGAACGCATCGGTTAAACGAAAACTGCAGATAAAGGAGGAGCCTGTGGACGAGACATCGGCGCCAGAGGTATGCAATCAGCCATTGGATGTCATTATCGCTGATTTGATTGATTTGATCCGTGGTTCCGCAGACAAAGCCGAAGCGAAAGAGACCAGAATTGCCGGAATATTCTTTGGATGACTCCGACTATTACGTGGACAACGGCTTACGGAAAGTGTATCCCTATTACTTCACGTACTTTTCCCACTGCAAGGGCCGGTGGATGGGACAGGAGTTGCACTCCTTTTACGCCAATGAGTTCCGTGGACTGACACCCGAGAAGATTGTATGTCATTTGATCCGCGCTTGAATGCGTTGACACTTATGTGTGGTTTGTCTGATGGCGTGTATAGAGAGGTCGCATCGAAAACGGATTTCTTTTGGTGAACAACCAGAAGGTGGACATCGATTACAAACTCAAAGGACACGATCTGCTCACACATCGCCTCCATAGACACGAATCGCCGGTACTTTCGGCGCCCATACCTGTCATCCATATGTCTAACGATATGCTGGTTGTGGACAAACCTCCGTCCATTCCCGTGAGTGATATTTTCTGTGCCAACGCTTCACTCTCGATGACTAATGCACTTAATCTTCAGATACATCCTTGTGGTAAATACAGACACAATTCAGTGATGCATGTGTTGGCCAAAGAGCACAATATGACTGATCTCTACAGTAAGCGTCGAAACTCATTGTCTTAATTCATATCTGATTGTCATATGTCGCTAATTCATGGCACAGATATCCATCGTTTGGATCGATTAACATCCGGAGTACTACTGATCGCCCGAAACACGTCCACCGCTCAGAAATTTCACGAACAGATCCGCAATCACTTAATTTCCAAAGAATACGTTTGTCGAGTTGTCGGCAAATTCCCAGAGTATGCGATCAATTGAATTGTTTTGTTAGTTGTCTGTAATGTCTTTGTCATCACCACTAGTGGTGTCGTGACCTGTGATCAGCCGCTCGAAACCCTGTCCCACAAGATAGGCATCTGTATTGTGGACCCGAAGGGCAAGTCCTGCAGCACTGCCTTCGAGCGACTCAACTATAACGGCAAGAGTAGTACCGTATTGTGTAGACCCAAGACAGGGCGCATGCATCAGATCCGTGTCCACTTGCAATACTTGGGTCATCCCATTGTCAACGACTCTTTCTATAATAACGATGCGTTTGGGCCCCAGAAGGGAAAGGGAGGCGAATACGGAAAGTCTAAAGAAGTGGTAAGAATTGATCTCAAATACGATCCTATTTTACAATTCAAGTAATGTTTAACTTGTTTTGAATTGATAGCTAATCCAAGACATTGATAAACAACACCAACGAATGCTTTATCTCATATCAAATGTCAGTGAAGTGTCGGCTGAGGAGCGAGAGATAAACGATAGGAAACGAGAGATCGCTTTAAAAGCCTTACATCACTACACGAATCGAGAGGAATGGCATGCGTTGACTGAAAAGTATTTGAAACAGTATTTGGTTTGATTTGAATTGTGTTTAAATGAATTGCTTTATGTTTTGTTAGATACAAATGCGACACAAATCGGTTGATAACAGACACCGAGTGTGAGGAGTGTGTGAACCGGACTATTGATCCAAACCCTAAGGATTTACTCATTTATTTGCACGCATTCTGTTATAAAGTAATGTCTGACTGTAGCCGACATTGAGTGCAATCTATTAATTGTTTTGTATTTCCATTGAATGTTGATTTAGGGCCAAGACTTTGAGTATAAGACAGCGCATCCAGTCTGGGCTTTGGATGATTGGGATTATGATTAATGTATCATATTTTTGACGATATTCTGGTTTTTGAATCAATTAAATAGTTGTTTTGTTATAAATTTTATTTACCGGTACAACAAAAAGCGCATCCAGTCTGGGCTTTGGATGATTGGGATTATGATTAATGTATCATATTTTTGACGATATTCTGGTAAAACTTAGTTAATTTATCAACAAAACAATATTTAAAATAAATGGCCATGTTGTTTTACAATGCCATGATGTCATTGTTTAGTATTATTTCATGTAAACCCACATAATCAAGTCAGGGTCTCCTTGAAGTATTATGTAAGAAATAAGTGATAAAACAGTATTGATTGTGTGGTTTTGAATTGAAAAGTCTAATACTTGAGAGAATAGTCTAATACTGTATTCGGAATCAATTAATCGGATTATAAAACGTTTGATTAATTATAAGAAATTATTACAAAAATTACAAAATCATAGGTCAGTCGTCGAGCATGAAGTCGTCGTATAGATCCAGGTGTTCGTACGGATTGACAAAAGTGGTAAAGTTGGAGGGAATGCCCAATGACAGCAAAATGGACTTCTCCTCGTCCGTGAGGTCTGGTATCGCGAAGTTTCCCGGTTTATAGGTCGAGACGTTGGCCTTCGCCGCCAACTCCTGCGGCGCTGTCTTTGTCTCGAGTTTCCTGAACGACAAGTTGGTCAGCGATGTGCGGCCGCCGTGTTTGGCCTCCTCTGCCATGTGGTGATAGGCGCAGAGGGCGAGGTCGGGGTAATGGCGGCGATCGAGTTGATCCGCTTCAGGGAAACCCAAGAGTCGGGCGAACGGCACATACTTTTCGCCGTATTTCTCGACGATAGCCTCTCTGGCGCTCGTAATCCGTTTGATGTCCTCTTTGACGGCCTCCAAGTCGACGGCCTCTGTGTAGGGGTTCTGAGAATATGTGAACGACTGGCGGAACCACTGGAGACCCGAATAACTCATTGCGAGGAATATCTGTCGCTTCATGGCGTGGAAGACGGGTCTGTTGTCCGCGGTGTCGATGATGTGTCGGGTGAGCGCCGGCACCAGACTCTTGTAGACATAGTAACGCCGTTTTGTGGCCACAAACAGCTCCGGATGACACGCAAACGACAACTTCGAGTCGGATCGACGGATCATCGCTGCGAAGGCGTCCACTCTTTTGCGGATCCATTCCTCGAGGTATTGGTTGTGGCTTTTGGCCGGCAGTGCGAAGAATAGGAAATAGTTGGTCAGCAACTGATCCACAGGTATGTCTGCGCTCGTGTCCACCGGTACGCCAAACGTGGTCTCAAACTGTTCGTCAC